TTCTTTTGTTTTCAGAGATGTTTTTAAAGTCGTTAAAACGACAATAATCATGTTTTAAAATGTTTTTGTAGGTGGTTCTAGGTGTATGTCAGATGATATACCATAATTTTGATTTATAGGTGAAAAATGATTTTATAACTATCACAGCTAATCGCGGAAAGTTTGTGAATCGTTACACGCACCTTACCTTTTTTTTTAAAAAAAAAACCCATATTGTCTTTGTATATCTAGAATCTACTAATCAATATCACGTGATTTGACAGTAAGCTAATTTGATCGGTTCCTCAAAAAAAAATTTTTTTTTTCTTTCTCGTCGAACAGCAGCATCCATCATGAGGTTCGTTTTCATCGTATTCGAAGTCACTCATTTCAACTACTTATCATTTCTGCGTTTCATAATAATTATTGCATGGTTAAAGTAAAATTCAAGTGACAGCCGTGAGAGAGTCAATCAGAACCGTTTTAAGTGAATCCAAGGAAAAAGCTCGTGGTTTTACTGAAACCGTTGAACTGCAAATTGGATTGAAGAATTATGATCCTCAAAGGGACAAACGTTTTAGCGGGACCGTAAAGTGAGTTTTGGAGTTGAAATTGATGGTAACACTCATCAGGTCAAAAAAAATTGAACGAAGTGAACAATCAACCTCACACACCATTAACTTCAATTCCGCGTCACCAGATTACCGAATATTCCACGCCCGAAAATGTCCGTGGCCGTCCTTGGCGACGCGCATGATTGTGACCGCGCAAAAGAAATCGGTTTAGAATGCATGAGCGCTGATGATCTTAAAAAGCTTAATAAAAATAAGAAATTAATTAAAAAACTTGCCAAAAAGTACGATGCATTTTTGGCAAGCGAAGGTTTGATCAAACAAATCCCGAGATTACTGGGTCCGGGATTACACAAAGGTTTGTTGAATGTACATATTTTGACTCTCATTTTCTCTTTCCCTTTGTGACCTGCTGTTTCTTTGAATAGCTGGTAAATTCCCCACTCCGGTAACCCATAACGATGATTTGAACGCCAAAGCTGACGAATTGCGTTCGACAATTAAATT